TCCACACCTGAATTGCAATTCAAAGAAACTCAGTCTGGCCTTATGACATGTCATTCCAAAAGAAAACACAAGTGGACTTGGCACAAACCACTCATCAATGCCAATTGTAACAGCATCTTGAAGATGGCCCTAATCTATTTGCTCTCTGCTATAGGGCAAAGTAACACAGCGCCTTCTTCCAAGGGAGAAAAGAGGTAGAGCATCTCTCAGTTCTTTAAGGCAGCTTTCCCTAATCTGATGCCCACCTGCAGATGTGCCAGACTACACATCCCATTATCCCCAGCTGCCAGAGAAAAGAATAGGTATTATAATCCAACACTCTGGGGTGGCATCTTGGGAAGGCCGCAAATGGAGCTTTTGTTATCTGTTCATCCACCGACTGCTGCTGCTAGCATAGGGCATGTGGGGCTGCGGGTTCATTGGGCCCGGACGATTAATCCAGTTTGTGTCTCTCCGTCCGGTTTGCTGTTCTTTTGTTTTCTCTTCTTGCAGGGTCAATAAACGCTGCACCTCCTCTTGGTCATCAAATGGGTTCCTGCCATATTCCTGCTGGATCCAGGCACGGTACTGCAAAATAAATAAAATGAAACAAAATTCCCGGCACCATCTTCAACATTTCATTCCCTCCCTCAAATGGGTTTTCTTTTTAATCCTTTTAAATTAAATTAAATTAAATTAAATTAAATTAAATTAAATTTTTTATTCAAGTGGGTTTTCTTTTTAATTTCTTTTTAAAACATGGTTTAGAATTGTAGAGTTATTTTGCAAAAGTGCCACTCCATTAATGCACGATAGCAGTGTAACTCCGTAAAAAATTTGAAGGAGGAGACAAAGAGGGGAAAATATATTGTTCCATTGTGTTCCAATCCAAATATACTCTTGTAAATACAAACAGTATATATGGAACAATATATTTACCACTCTTTGCAAAATTATATTTGGAACAATGTATTTTTCCCTCTTTTTGGAAAATTAGAAAAATATATTTCCCCCTCTTTGCCTCCTTCTTCAATTTTTTTGCAGAGTTACAGTGCTATAGTGCATCGATGGAATAGCTTTTTTTGCATTATGACGTTACAATTTTGAGCAATGTTTTAAAAAATTAATTCAGAGATCAGAAAATCTACCCTCACCTCAGCAAACCACATCCACAGCCAAGAAAAAGTGCAGAGAGAGAAAGAGAGAATATGGGAATGAGAGACAGCGTGTTAATTTCAACCCAAAAAAGTCAATGCCGAGAACCAAAATGCAAAGGTCATGTGAATGAAGACTGACACCATAATGAAAAAGTCACCCATGTGGGCGTCTTGAATCCTGTGTGAACTCCCTTTTTCATGCAAAGTGGTGTGTTTGGGTCCCCCGATCATTCATGCATGCCCCCAACTTTTGGGGGACTTCCAATGGGAATTTCTGGTGTTTTGCTTGCAGAGACATATCTGCCAATTGGCTACAGAAACCACACCGCTCAAAACTAGTTTCTGCTCTGCTCTGCACCAGAAAAGGTGGGGGACATGTTGGTTTAAGAGCACCAGTGGGGCAGAGGTTTGTGTGTTGGACTCTCTAGAGATCAGGGTTCAAATCCCTGCTCAAACATTAAAATAAAAAAAAACCTGGGGGGCCTTGGTTGAGTCACACTCTCTCAGCCTCAGGGGAAGGCAATGGCAAACCCTCCTCTGAAGAAGCTTGCCAAGAAAACCCCATGATAGGTTCTCCTTAAGCTGGAAATGACTTGAAGGCACACAACAACAACATATACATTTGAAGTGGACTTGCGGCATGACACCCTGCAATACTCGCTGAATTGAACACTATTTTGTGTCTTAATATTTGCACTAAAACATGCAATGCAAGGCCCAAAAGTTATGTTTGGTCTACTTGTTCTCTATGAAACAAATCAATGTATGCACAACTCTAAATGTAGTCTAACCTTTTCATACTTTACAGGATGAACCTGGCACTGTTTTGTTGTTGTGTGCAAGAAAATGGCCCAAAATGGGCCAGACTGGCTGCTGGAAGTGACACAACACAACTTCTGGGATGCCGAAACACAACAGAGAGGACCGCTGGTGGGGGCAGTCCTTTATAGTTTCCCACCCTTGCTGTAAAGATTGCCTTGAAAATCCAAGAGAGCAAAGGAAAGATAGGTGCATGAAAGCCAGGTTACCTCCTTGAGCAAAGTCGATTCGTACTCCTGCAGTTGCTCCTGGAAGCCAAAGTTGGGACTCACGTAGGAACGGACAGCTTTGGTGGCCGTCAGGCACTCTTCCCAGCCAAAATTGGTCACGGTCATGAGGTAGGCCACCAGAATGGTGGTGCTGCGGGAAACTCCAGCTAAGCTGTGGCGGCAACCCAGAAAAGCAACATCTTGAGTAAGACACATGCAAAAGAGAGATGGAGAAGAACAAAATTCTCTTAAGGATGCAGCAGCAATAATGAGATTTCTCACCAGTGAATGAGGCATCCTCCTCCATGCAGCCGGCATTCGTGAATAAACCGGATGCACTCCTTAAAATGTTGTATCCTGGGGAAAACAGAAGAAGAAGAAGAAAAAGTAAGAATTGTTTGACCAAACTACAGTCGTCCCTCTCTATTCGCGGGGCATCCGTTCCGGAATACACACCCCGCGAATCTGGAAAAATGCAAATATTCGAGTGCCTATTGGTTACAATGGTGGTGCGCTCCCCAGCACGCATGCCATTTTGTCCCTCCCCTCTTGCCATTCGCGAAGGAGCGAGACCGCAGATTCCAAGTCTGTGAATGGAGAGGGACAAGTTTCGATGCCTCTTTTTTCCCGTGAGGATAGAACCTAAATGAGGCTGCATCTACACTGCAGAATTAATCCAGTTCAGCACCACTTTAACTGCCATGGCTCAATGTTATGGAATTTGTAGTTTTGTAGATATTGAGCCTTTTCCGGCAGAGAATTCTGGTGCCACAACAAACGACAAATCCCAGATCTCCATAGGATGGAGCCATGACAGTTAAAGTAGTATCAAACTGCATTAATTCTGCAGTGTGGCAGCAACTGGAGTCAGGCCATTGGGGCATCTAGCCCAGTCTTGTCTATGCACTCTGGCTTTCTGTTGGATTATGACTTCCCAACACTATGGCCACGCTGGCTGGAGATGATGGGATATGCAGTCCAATACCAGGCTGAGGAAGGCTAGAAATAAGGCAGTTCTGGGGAGAACCCATAATCACCAGTGAACATTGAAGGTTTAGGCAGAGGGAGCTAAGAATTAGATTGCATTTTTAAAAATCGTAAGATGCTTTAATAGGCTGGTGGTACAGAGATGTTATACAGCCAAAGAGCATGATTTTGCTCCCTGTAATTATAATTCTATACATTCCTTGCTTGCCTTTCTGAACCACTCCTTCAGAGCTGTCAAAGGAAACCACAGCACTCACTTACGAAAAGGCCATAAATGAAAGAAAGAAAGAAAGAAAAAACCAAACAAAGGTGTGTTCAGTATCAGGAAAAAGGGGCCATCTCACTGAAACTGGCAGTACCGTTTCCGGCTTGAGGATATGCCTGCAAAGGAGAGGCATGCTGATAAAAATCATAATGCTCCAAGTCCTCCTTGGTATGTATGTATCTGCATTCAAGACCCCATGAATTTCCTAGGGTTTTCTTAGGCAAGGAATCCTCAGAGGTGGTTTTTCCAATTCCTTCCTCTGAAACATAGCCTGCAAAACCTGGGACTCGTTCCCACTATGATTTAAAGCGACTTACAGATCAGGTTATAAGACCGTCGTTCCCACTTGAAACCAGTTCCGATCCTATGAAGCTTGGTTTCAATCGTGATGAAGTGAGGCAAATGCAAAAATCCCGCTGTTTCCTGATGCCAGTTCTTTGGCAGTTCTTTTGAAAAGAACAGATTCCAAAGCGTGTTCAACAAGTGGGAACAACGGATCTGAATCAGATCGTTTTGGAGGAGAGAGACTAATGGCGGAGGGGTATTTACCATTCTGACTCAGTTTTTTGGAGATCCATCATTTCCTCCCCCCCTCTCAGTGCCACCTTTGTGCTTGTGTGACCTATGGGCACTATATATATATATCAAATTACTGAATATATGATCCATTGTTTTTGCAACTACAGGATTTTGTAGGATGGTGCCATGGAAATTAAAGTGGTGTCAAACTGCATTATTTCTGCAGTGCAGCTGCATCCCTGATCATAATGGTCCAAGCATTCATAACTGACACAAATATGGCTCTTCCCAATCTTATCCTTGTACACTTCTGGATTACAAAATGCAGAGCTTGAGAAAGTTTAATTTTTTTGTGGGGAGGTATGACAATTCCCACAATTACTGAGGCATCATGGGGATTCTGGGACATACTGTCCAAAAAAGTGACTTTTCCATACTCTTAGAAAATGGGAGGGAAGTTCATGGCTTTGGATCAATGAGCAAAGAGTTCAGAGTTTTGATCTAGTGTTTCTAGCATGAAGGTCCTTTGAGGAACCAACAATTCAGTCCTCACCTTGAAACCAAGGTGATGATGGGTCTCAAACCCCACCACCAAAGTGTCAACCTCAAACCGTTGCAAATCAGCCCCTTCTCCTCTTGCTTCTTGGAACTCCCTTTCTAAAAGTTCACAGAGATTGTGAAACACAAAGTCTCAGGCACTCTGCAGAAAATAGCCTATTTAAAAGCAAAACTTCCTTCCTGTGGCCCATTGCTTAGAGGCATGCTATGATTGCACACACATCTTAAAAGAAAAAAATAATGAAATAAAGAGGAAAAGAAGGAGAGGAAGACTGACACCCCAACTATGTTGAAGAAGGTCTTTCTTGAGTTTCTCAGGGAGAATATTTTGCAGACTGCAGAGCCTACCGCCAAATCTTGGAATAGCTACTGCCTGTATGATAGCTCCCACAATCCCCCAGTCACCCTAGAAAAAGAGTTATTGAAAGAATGGGAACTGGTGAATCTTAAGCGAAGAAGTCTCTGTACAAACTGATTTTATTTTGGAGATCTACATGATGTTTGAAAGCCAGAGTGGAGCAATGGTTTGAGCCTTGGACTACAACTCTGGAGACAAGGGTTCAAATCCTTGCTCTGCCATGGAAATCCATTGGGTGGACCTTGGTCAAGTCACACTCTCTCAGCCTCAGAGGAACGGCAAACCCCCCTCTGAACAAATCTTGCCAAGAAAACCCTGTGATAAGTTCGTCTTAAGGTCACCTTAAATCAGAAGTGACTTGAAGGCTCACAACAACAACATGACGTTCTTCCCATCCCAAAGTATTCCCAGGGAAGTCCTGGTTTTATCAAGGATTTTCATTCCCACTGCCCAGGTTAGTTTTAAACTAACCCAGTATTTCCCCAATTGAAATGTATCCTCTCCATTGCCATCTGTTTGCGTTATATCAAAACTAGCTAAGGTTGCAGCCGCCCAAAAAACAGAATTGATTATTTTCAGGACCTAAGATCAAGCAAGGGAAAGAGGAATGCTAGTAAAGAAAAAATGATCCTAATGCTGAACTGATGTAATATTGCTAAAGCACTTTGACACTTTGCCCATAACTTCTGATTAATAATGAAAAAGGACTCAATGGAAACTAGTGAAAGACAGTTTCTGAGACATTTCTTGAGTCTATGTGACAACCGATTAGTGTGGAAGGGAATACCATGAATATGCAAGTAAATTCAAAACAAAAAGAACTGGAAAATTTCAGTATTTCCAGGGTCTCCCCCGCCCCCTTTCTGGATAAGCACTAAGACTTGGAAAGACAGCCATGAGAGACTTAGACAATATCCACAAATGTAAAGATATATAATTGCATGCCCAAGTCAGAATCATCCAGGATATCGTATTTCTGATTTTTATGTATGGTTGTGAAAGCTGGACAGTCAAAAAAGCTGATAGGAAGAGAACCAACTCATGCTGGAGGAGAGTTGTGAGGATACCATGGACTGCTAAAAAGACAAATAAATGGGTTTGAGATCAAATCGAGCCTGAAGTCTCCCTGGAAGCCAGGATGGCTATATACTTTGGATATATTATGAGAAGACAGGACTTATGAGAAAATATGGTAATACTTGGTAAGGTAGAAGACGATAGGAAAAAAAGGGGAGACCACATTACAGATGCTCAACCAAGGAAGCCACAGCCCTGACTTTGCAAGACCTGAGCAAAGTGGTTGAGGATAGGATAACTTGGTGGTCTCTCATTCATGGGATCGCCATAGGTCAAAGTCAGCTTGATGGCACACAACAACAACAAAAGTGAATACAACAGCCTAAATCCTATTACAATGGACCCTTGGTATCTGCTGGGGTTTGGTTCCAGGACCCCCGTGGATACCAATATCCATAGATGCTCGTCCCATTGTATACAATGGCTTAGCAAAATGGTGTCCCTTATATAAAATGGCAAGGTTTCCTTTTTGGAAAAATATTTTCAAGACGGGGGTGGTTGAATCCATGAATGCAGAATCCGTAGATATGGAGGGCCAACAATTGTAAATTTACGTCACTTTGCAACCTTCTTTTGAAAAAGCAGGGTATCAACTCTATTAAAATTAACAAACCAGTACAGATTGGATGTGCTTTAAGAGATCCTGTGTTTCTTGCTTCATAAATTTAAATCCCATAGGTGGAATATATATAGAATATAGAAAATATCTAAACCATGGATGGTTGAATCTGTGGATATGGAATCTGTGTGGATAAGGAGGGCTGACTTTATTAGTCCTGATTAGAGTAAATCTATTGAATCCATTACATTTACCTTTGTATAGCCTAACCATTCAGCAATTGACTGAAAGCATCTACTCTACTTGGAACTAACAAGAGGATGGCAACCCATGGGGATTTACATCTGAGTAAGTATACATGGAAATGAGGAGTCTGGAGAGTTCAGGGCAGCCTTTAATATCTGTTTCCTTTTAGATTTGAATTTTTCGAGGGGGTTGGGAGTCTTTGGGGGATTGGCAAGGAAAATTCAGGGATCGTACAAGTGGAGTCGGTGGCCCACACACATGGTGGCACAGTTTCCTCACTCACCCCAGTTTTATAAACTACCAAATTCTTGGAAACGTTGTGGTTGGCGATTCAAAGGAAAGGCCAAGTGGGTGTGCAGAAAAGGACAGACACGGATGATACGAGCCGTGTGTTTCTTGATGGAAACAATCAAAGGTAGAGAGGAACTGCTCTAAGAGGAAAGGACACAATATTTGGGGCTGTTGAGCTGAGAAAAAAAAGACAAGCAAGTGGAGATATTACAGAGGTAAGCTATGCCTGGGGTGGAGAAAGAAGATAGGGAAAAGGTTTTGTCTTTTTGTCTCTCATAATTGTGATCCCATATCTTGAAATGTGTCTCAGATGAAAACTGAGACCTATGTGGCCAAGAAACATCAGTGTGTAATCAAAAGGGCAAAGGTTATTTTGAAGACGATGACCAAATTTGGTATGTGATTGGGTATTGGATTTTATTATATGGATTGTAGGTTTTTATTATTGTTATGGTTTTATACATTGTATTTTTGTATACTGTTTTATATTTTTGCTGTAATAATTTTTGCTGTAATAATTTGTAAATTATTTGTAAATTTGCTGTAATAATTTGTAAAATACAAATAAAAACTATTATTATTATTATTATTATTATTATTATTATTATTATTATTATTATTTAAGAAAGAAGGAGACAAGCTATTAATGAGGAAGAACAGACAAGGCTGCAGCAGTTTGCTTTTGCCTGAGCCTACAGGGAACAGCAAGATCCATCTGGACCACACTCCAATGTTGCTTGGCCACATGTATCCTAGTTTTCATCTGTGAGATGTTGGAGGGTATAAGATAGACCTCTGCAGTGGCTAGGGACCCAGGAGTCCCTAGTTTCCACTTCTCACTTTGGCACACACCCTATGCTCAAGAAATAAAACATTTTCTCCACTTTGCATGAGAAATATCCAAAAACCCAAACAGGGTCCACTCCTAAATACTTTTGCACATGGACCAGGATTCTTCCCATTTCTTCTTTTTATTTTCTGTATTCAGCTTCTTACATCTTATCTATCGGATTCTGATTCAAGTGATTCTTTTTATTTTCAGTACCGTATTTCTTTTCAAATAGCTTTTTCTTTTAAGGAACACAGGACAATCTTAATCCTCTGCAGAAGAAGAAAAATAGCACTGTTTATGTCTTGTATCTTCATGTACAAAGTGATCTACAGTGCAATTTTGTACCAAACAGTGCAATTTTGTACCAAATCTGACCCATGCTTGGGGAAAACTAGAGTATTTTCTTTAATGCAGAACAGAGAACAGATAAGCCTCAGATGAGGTTGGACTGTAGATCCCATCTTCATTCCCTATTAGCTATGCTGCCCAAGGCTAATGGGAGTTGCAGTCCAACAACATCTGGAGGACCACGCTCTGCTCATTCTGATCTTAAACAAAGCCAGAGCATTTGCAGTGAGAAAAGGAGATGGAAGGGCTGAAAAAACTTACAGATTTTGATTCGAGGAGTCTGAGGCCGATATACAGAGGTAAGTCATGTCCTGAAATGAAAGGGAGAGATTCATGACTCGCGTTCTACTTAGGGACAGATAAAGTTTCAAATTCTGGCATCAAACCCATATTGGAAATCACTTTTAGATTTTCTTTGTGCTTTGAGAACCATCCTACTGTTTATTTTCATTGTTTGCCTTATATCCAGCAGCTCTTCCACACCGCAGCAATAAAGCAGTTGTTGTCTCTCTCATCGACCCTATCAACCCAGCTAATGGTGAGAAATGTTGGGAGCTGCAGTCCAAAAAATTTCTGGAGGGCCACATTTTTCCTTTGCTTGAGATCAATGATACTCAGCTGCTTGGGACTTCGACTTCCAGAATCCCCAACCAACCACAGCCAATAGCCAGAGGAGATGGGAGTCCAAGTCGAAGTCCAAAAGGAAAGGAAGACCACTCTAGATTAATTTTCTCTAGCTCAGTGCCCTCCTAAGGTGTTGAACTAGATGTCCCATTATCCCCAGCTGTTCTGGAACAAAGCTTGAGAATGGCGGCTTTATGCAATAAAGATCCAGAGGATGACTTTTTGTCCTGTCTACGTAGAAAGAGGACTTTGAGACTGCAGGTCCTTGCCTTTAGTCATTTACAGCAGGTCCCTCTATGCAACAACTGTCAGATTTCAGCAAAAAGAGATAAGAGGCAAAAAGAGGGAGAAACCGAAACCTTGTGAATTTGGCTCAGAGCATTAACCCTCCAACATTGGAAGGGACTAGAACTTTAAATAGGATGCAGAAGGAGCACATCAAAATCGGACTGAGGGAAAGTAAAGGGATGGTTCTTTTTTTTCTTCTTCCGTAACAAATTTCCTTTGCTAGGAAAAAGACAGAATTGAAAACGAGAAAATATGCGACTTGCCCAAGGTCACCCAATGGTTTTCATGGAGGAGCTGGGAATCAAACCCTGGTCTCCACAGTCATAGTCCAACACTCAAACCACTACACCACACTGGATCTACACCTTATTTAAAAGGTGAAGTGCCACTCTTGCGGGCTTCCAGGTGCAACAATTCAACTTATTTTATTTTATTGGGGATGCATATCCAGGAGACTGGAGAGGTTGGGACCACACACCAAAAAAATACCATGCACCCTGCCCCAGGACTGCATTTTGTCCCCCGTTCCCCAAAAAAGATCTCCTCCATCTTAGAGCAGTGGCCAACAATTGCAGTGTCATTATTGTTTGAGGCAGAGATTGCGCTATAAGGTCAGTCTTTCTCAACCTCGCTGCTCTCGTCTCAATGCATGTGGGTTTATTTATTGCTTTTAAATCGTGCATCAAAAAATATTTTTGCAAAATAATAATAATAATGTTGCAACACCCTTGCAACTGCAAAATCATCCGGGCGGATGCTAATGTCTCCTCTCTCATGCAAGTATCCTCCTTGCTTGTCCTTAACCCAGGTATTCAGCCATAATAATAATAATAATAATAATAATAATAATAATAATAATAATAAAGTTTATTTATATCCCGCCCCTTTGAGATCAATCGGGGCGGCTAACAAGAATAAAATATACATACAACTGTAAAAACTAATTCCTCCCCCCC